CACACAAAGGAAAACGCCCACCCACCCCTTTTGTAAATACCCTTAGGATCCTTTGTCTTCCCACAAACACATGGGCTATGCAGAACCCGCAAATGTTGGTCTGTAGCAGCAAAAAGAAGTTCTGTTTCATCCAGATGAGGACTCTGGCAGAAAAGTCTGCAACAGCGAAAACTAAGAGGGCTGGGGCTGGAGGAGTTATTTTGTGCATTGAAATAATAGCTCAGTAAATGTTTTCCACTCCTTCAAATCAGTTTCTATCTTAGACGCGTACTTTTCTGAAATATACTCAGAGTCGAGAGTGGATTTCATGCTCTTTATTCAGCTCATAGTGGTGAGAAGGAATGGAAGTTCCCCCATAATGTCTGCTTTATATACATTATTTACACAATGGGCCCCATGTGATTGGCTAATTCCAGGATTCTCCTGCAGGCCAATCAGATTGCGGATTCACTTCCACCTACAGCTGGATTGGGTGGTTCCTGCGGACCAATCAGAAAGCTGCATTCTGGACCCTATTGTTCTAGGACCAATCAGACTGCTGCATTCTGAATCCTATTGTTCTAGGGCCAATCAGACTGCTGCATTCTGAATCCTATTCAACTCAGTACATAACATTTTCTCTCTCTCTTTAGTGGATCATGTGGGTCTCCATAAATCAGAAGTGCAGGGGACGGTGATTGAGCAAACGGACTGACCTGGCTGGACAAAATTGCTTACAGACAGCACTATTTTATTATTAATTAATTAAATTTCTATATTGCCATTTGTCTGAGGATCACAGGGCAGTTTACGATATAAAAACACACAGCATAGTAACAAAAATAATAAAACCACCCCACTCCCCAGTTTAAAAGGCCACAGATGGTTCTATTAGCCAAAGGCCTGGGAAAAACACCTGGCACCTTCAGATATGGAATGAAGGCGTCAGGCAAGCCTCCCTGGAGAGAGCATCCCACAAATGGGGAGCCACCACAGAAAAGGCCCCTTTCTGTGTTGCCACCCTCCAAACCTCTCACAGAGAAGACACATGAAGAAGGGCCTCAGATGATGATCTCAGGGTCTGGGTAGGTTCATATGGAAAGAGGTGGTCCTTGAGCTATTGTCGTCCTGAGTCATTTAAGGCTTTACAGGTCAAAACCAGCACTTTGAATTGCACCTGCAAACGAATTGGTAGCCCATGAAGTTGGGCTTGGGTTAGTGCAGTGTTATGTACTAAGCTTGGATCCTAGAACAATAGGCAGGTAGGATCCTAGAATGCAACAACCATTCAGGCTCCAGGAGGGAAGCAGAATCAGCCAATCAGACGGAACTCGTTGTGTAAATAATGTATATAAAGCCTGAGGGTTGGGGGGGGATTCATTCACTGTTTTACGAGCTGCAATTAAGAGCATGAAATCACTACGCCGCTTCGAGTATATTTCATGCTGTATGCTCAAACCAGCTTGCCCAGGTGAGCAGCCTGGCTGCCGAATTCTGTACTAGCTGAAGTTTCCGAACTGTCTTCAGAGGCAGCCCTGTGTATAATGCACTGCAGTAATCTAACCTAGAGTTACCAGAGCATAGACAACAGAAGTTAGTCTGTCCCTGTCCAGATCGGGGTGCAGCTGGGCCACCAGATGAAGCTGATGGAAGGCACTCCGGGCCACTGAGGCCACCTGAGGCTATGTCCCCGCTCCTTTGGAGGGATTGCAACCCCATCAAGAGCAGGCAAGCTTCCAACCTTCTGATCAAGGAAATGACCAACTGACAGGACAGGGCCTTAGTCTTTTCTGGACTGAGCGTCAGTTTGTTGGCTCTCATCCAGTCCATTAACGAGGCAAGACATCAGTTCAGCACTTCCACCTGCAGATTTGTCCATGGCAAAAGGTAAAGGGACCCCTGACCATTAGGTCCAGTCGTGACCGACTCTGGGATTGCAGCGCTCATCTCGCTTTATTGGCCGAGGGAGCCGGCATACAGCTTCTGGGTCATGTGGCCAGCATGACCAAGCCGCTTCTGGTGAACCAGAGCTGCGCACAGAAACGCCGTTTACCTTCCCGCCAGAGTGGTACCTATTTATCTACTTGCACTTTGATGTGCTTTGGAACTGCTGGGTTGGCAGGAGCAGGGACCGAGCAACGGGAGCTCACCCGGTCACAGGGATTCGAACCGCCAACCTTCTGATCGGCAAGTCCTAGGCTCTGTGGTTTAACCCACAGTGCCACCCGCGTCCATGGCAAGGGACTCCCCAAATCACAGGATATGTGCAGAGTTCCAGTTGAACTCAGCTAATTGGCAACAAGTCATCTGGACATGTGTTAACAAGTGTTTGTGTGGAGTTTCCCATTTCCTGCATGCAGCAGAAAAACCAGCCTTCCTAGTCCTTTCCATATAATATTTCAGTTCTTCTTTTTCAATGACAGTTTGCCTTCAGTTCCTTCCTCTTGTATGCAACGTTGACAGCAGTTCCCTGGACGATGAGTTAACACAGAGAAGCTTCCCTCTTTTTGCCTTCCACTTCAAATCTACCTCACAATACTTGCCCATTCAGAACCCTGGAGGTTTGGAGGCCCATCTGCTGAAATGGAGACCGACTGTCTAATCCAAACAATCGCTTCTCGTGGCAGGAAGCCCTGTGCCGCTCCGTGAATGCAAAAACTCTCCCTCTCATGGCACCATCTGCACAGCCATCAGCTAATCCCCAGTCGCCTTTCTCTCCTTTGAATTTGCTCTCTAGAAAGATTTGCTAAGGCCAGTCACCTGTGTTTATCTGTCTGGGCTTCACTCCCCTCTGGGCTTCTGGAGTTATGCGAGATTAGATCGCCTTTCTTTTTTCTCCCAGTGTACTTTATTCCAGCTTGAACGGAAACTGCAGCCAGAAATACAAGTCACTGTGGAGCAATAGAGGAAGACGCCTGCTTGTGGGCTTTGGAGATGCGTCTGCTTGGCCACTGTGGGGGCAAAGAGGGTGGAGAGGCGTCTGTTAAGTTGTGGGTGAACATATCAGACGACGCAGCGATTCTCCAAACAGCTCTTGTTTATTCACAGGTCAGAACAGAATTGAACTGAAGGGTTCAGCCAGCCTGCTTATATAGAGCTCCAGTACAACGTAACTTTAACAACTTTCTGTAACTATCCAATCACTGAACGTCACTTTCGATCCCTTATTTGCATATGTGGACCTCAAATTCTACAGTATCCCCCTGCTGGCCCAGGGTGAGAACTTCAGTACGTAACAGTGTCCATGCCTTAGATGTGAGCAACAGGGTTCTACGCCCAGCCTTGTTAAGGACATCTGCTTTCTAAGCACCCAGAAAGCAACACACCATCTCTTTAAAACACATTACACAATTCTGGTGACTTTTAAGGAAGCTCACATCAACATGAACTTCCTCAGCCTTTCTGCTTATTCAGCAGTTATAGATTTTTAAGGGGGGGGAAAACTTCTGAGAAATGAAAGATGAAACAAAGATCAATGCTTGTGATCCTAAGCATATCAGCACCTGTAAAACAAGCGGGCATTATTCTGTCTGGTATACAGGGACGTGGGTGGCGCTGTGGGTTAAACCACAGAGCCTAGGACTTGCCGATCAGAAGGTTGGCAGTTCAAATCCCCGTGACGGGGTGAGCTCCCATTGCTCGGTCCCTGCTCCTGCCAACCTAGCAGTTCGAAAGCACGTTAAAGTGCAAGTATATAAATAGGTACCACTCCGGCGGGAAAGTAAACCGTGCGCTGCTCTGGTTCACCAGAAGCGGCTTAGTCATGCTGGCCACATGACGCAGAAGCTGTATGCCGGCTCCCTCGGCCAATAAAGCGAGATGAGCGCCGCAACCCCAGAGTCGGCCATACAGGTTATACAGGTTGAAGGGTATAATTGTTACTTAATTGTTACTTAATTGTTACTGCACAGATGGGAGTGCTATAGAATGATCCTATACATTACTCAGAAGTAAGTCCCATTGAGTTCAGGTAAGTCCCAGATAAGTGGGTTCAGTATTGTTGTTTTTGTGTGATTTTCTTGAAATATAAGTACTACCCAAACGCCTGGTAGAAGAGATCTTGCCTCCTCACCCATTTAAAGTTGAGGTATTCCTCAATGAAATGACAAACTTACCTGCATGTACAAATAACATGAACTGAGCACTTCACAAACCTTCCCACGTGTTTTGATTATGAATGGAAAAGAAATTCAATTCAGTTCACATTTAAAAGTGAACTGACTTAATTCCCGCTTTCTGAAACATTATGCAAACCAAGCCACAGCCATCCTTCAATTTTGCCCTCATCTGAATTTTGCAAGGTCGTTCCGCAGTCAAGTAACATGCACTAAAACGCTACTAGGCTAGGATGTGTATTCAAAGGCATACAGGTATATTAGTGAAAATAACATACAGAAATGCATTATATTAGGGGTAACTACTTTGCAAAATGTGAATATTAGGAGAAACTCACATTGAAAAGATGTAGAATTTTCATGTGATGATGTGGAAAACTGAACTTAAGATTCCCCCACCCCTAGCTATGATACAGGGAGCTATTCCTTTCCTTATCTCCTGAAGTAAAGAAATTTATTTCTGGCAAGGCAAGGTACCCCGCCTCAAACAATTAGGGTTGCCTAATGTGAAAGAGGTCTCCTCAAGTCCATTGCCAGCCATAACGTCTAAAAGTCAGTTAGCTGTTTATTTCCTTGACATCTGATGGGAAGGCATAACATAACATAAAACATAACATAACATAACAACATAACATAACATAACATAACATAACATAACATAACATAACATAACATAACATAACATAACCTGTCCTCTGGGAAGTGCAATTAGTTCTGGTGGCAGATTCCCAACAAATGGGCAATGCAACCAGCTCCTTTGCTGAAGAAAAATGCGAAGGAGACTTCTTTTTCATAAAAAAAGAGGTGTTTCACAAAAACTTTCTCTTCCCCTCCTTTCCATTAGGTGCATTCACTGATCCAGCCCATAATTAAGGAAATGATAAGATTAAAGTTTTCCCAGCTTACTTGCTAAACGCTGTCTGTCAGGCAAGCTGTGAGTATTTAGCAGCGTGTGAGCGAAGAAGGTTTCTTCTTTAAATGTCAGGAAGCAGCTGCAATCCTAAAGCCACTTACTTGGGAGTAAGCCCCATTGAATTCAGTAGGGCTTACTTCTGAGTAGACATGGTTAGCATTGTGCCCTTTGCTTTTAATGCCACAGCATGGAAACTAGCACTTCGTTGCATTAAAAGGACACGGTTGGTGCCTTTCCCCAGCAAAGAAAAATTGTAAGTGGTTTCCCCCCCCCCTTGCATGCTGTTTGATAATATTAATAAACAAGCTGGCTTGGTATGCTAAGCCCAGACACTTTCCCATGACCTTGTGGAAGCATTTAAGCTGCAGCCCTGGAGCTGCCAATAACCACTGGCAGGTCCTGCTTACTGGACATTCAGACACGTCTTCTCTGAGTAGTGTTGTAAACAAAAAATGCCCTTTTCCCTTATGGGGTATCCAAGAGCCCATATAGAGTCCTTACATAGGTTCCCTATTGGTAGGAGAGAATAACAGAGGGCGACCAGAGAATACTGAGAAGCAAAGCAGCTAGTAAGCTTGATCTTTATTGATCTGTTGCAACAGGGTGCTCCCCTCACCCGCAGGAGAGAGGAGGAACCCAAAAAAATGGTGCGCAAGGCCTTATAAAGACTTCTGAAATTGCCACCCTGTAGATCAAGACCACCCCCAGAAACACCATACATACATCACAGAAGGGGTGTAACCCAAGACCACCCCTCAGATACATCATACCGACATCACAGAACAGGCGGTCTAAAACAGAAATTTGAATGTTGTTTTTCTCTTGTCGTTGTTTATCTCCTGTCTGGCAGGTTAATTGATTGGATTGCCTGGGGAGCCTGGCCAGTCTTTTGTAATAATAAATACTTAGTTCCTGGGCCATGTCACAGGCTCACACCCTATTCATATCTTAAATGTGCCCTTAAGACAGGATTTGTGAAGGAAAAGACAATGGGGAGGCTTTTCCATTTTCCTTGACCTTGCAGAGAAAACATTTGGTCAGTTTGGGACAGTTTGGGAATCAAAGATGGTTCCAGGTCGGTCTTCCTGTGCTGATCTATGTACATGTTTGGTTGGTACACTTATGAACATTACCATATATCTCAGACCTCAAAATTCCTAAAAAAATTCCTTCCAGTAGCACCTTAAAGACCAACTAAGTTAGTTCTTGGTATGAGCTTTCGTGTGCATGCCAGTGTCCGTGTTAAGTCTGGTTGTAGTATTATTGTGGGTTAGGAGTTGTTTAAGATTGGGTGGCTGTCTGTAGGCAATGAAAGGTCTTCCTCCCAGAGTTTGAGAAACTGGCACCAGAGCCTGCAATAAACCCAGATGCCAACTTTGCTGCCACATACACCCGGACAACACCATTACTGGCCCCAACAACATCACACATACCATCTCGGGACTATTTAATTGCTCATCGTCTAACATTGTGTATGCCATCAAATGCCAACAGTGTCCTTCAGCTCTCTATATCGGACAAACAGGCCAAACCTTACGCCAAAGAATAAACGGACATAAATCTGACATCAAGAATCACAAGACAGAGAAACCAGTAGGAGAACACTTCAATCTCCCAGGACATTCTATACAAGATCTCAAAGTAGCTGTTTTACTACAAAGGAATTTCAGAAATAGACTGGAAAGAGAAGCTGCTGAATTGCAACTTATTACCAAACTTAAAACCATGGAGAGACCTGGTCTGAACAAAGACATTGGATTCTTATCTCATTATACATGACAAAGCCATTCTTCACCTTCTCACCCCTTGCTTTTTCCTGTAAGACCTATTGCAGTCGTTAAGAGTCGTCAACAGGCTCATCACAGCTATCTGCCAATCACCCATTCCCACCACCCTTCTGAGTAATACCCCTCCCCACCTTCTCACTATATAGAAGGATCTGGCAACTTCTGTTTCAGTGTATCTGAAGAAGTGTGCATGCACACGAAAGCTCATACCAAGAACTAACTTAGTTGGTCTTTAAGGTGCTACTGGAAGGAATTTGTTTTGTTTTGACTATGGCAGACCAACACGGCTACCTATCTGTAACTCAAAATTCCTATCATAGTTGACCCACTGAAATTCATGGATCTCAAGTCCCCACATTCCTTACTTTCCATGCATTTTCTTTGAGTAGGAATAACTTTGGATACAGCCCGGATCCAATGCAGGCGATTTCAAAATAATGTAGAGGACCAGAAAGAACCCCTCCAAAAGGGCTATGTGAATCCACAACACACGTGTTTGCCTCTCTGCAAATTGATGCTTTGTGCTGCTGTCTGTATTGCTGTTCATTATGCAAGATTTGCTTCTCACTCTTGTGCTTTATAACTTATGTGTAAGCTGCCACGAGTTCGATTTCATCACAGCATAGCAGGCTATCAGTGCCCAAGTCAACGCCTACAGAAATAGAAGTATGAATGGAATTTCGGCGAAAAAAGAACCAGTTGAACTTAAGCGTCTCCCCAGCCCAGCCCTCTTTGGCAGTGCCATGAGCACAGAGGCATGGCGAATCCGACAGGGAACTTCTCAGAACAATGCTGTGGTCTAGCCTGAAAATCAGATAAGCAGCACAGGGTGTTCAAGCGAAGTCTGGACGATAATGCCAAAAATCTGTCTAAAGTGCAGGCTGACAAACTCCCATGAACACCATGGTCGGAGTTTCGGCTGTTAAAGGGATTTGCAAACATAGCATAGTTTTCGTGCTGATAATAAATGCTGAGAACAGGTTTTATAAAGTGCCGGATTTATGTATAAGCTCTAGCTTAGGGCCCCACTCTCTTGGGGGGGGGCCAAAAAAAATTAAAGGGGGGGGAAACTGGATGTATATATCAAAAAGAAAGCATAAAAAACAAATAAAATAAAACCTGCATACAGCAGCAGTTTTTTGTGTTGTGTATGGACCTATTAGGTCCATAAATTACCATATAAAGTGGTACCTCAGGTTAAGTACTTAATTCGTTCCGGAGGTCCGTACTTAATCTGAAACTGTTCTTAACCTGAAGCACCGCTTTAGCTAATGGGGCCTCCTGCTGCTGCCATGCCGCCGGAGCACGATTTCTGTTCTCATCCTGAAGCAAAGTTCTTAACCTGAGGTAATATTTCTGGTTTAGCGGAGTCTGTAACCTGAAGCGTATGTAACCTGAAGTGTATGTAACCCGAGGTACCACTGTAGTTGTATTCATCACAAAAACACAGTGACAATTTGTTGTTGACAAAGGACAGCTGGACATATAAAGGGCCTCATTACTTTCAGGAGCTTAGGGCCTCATCAAACCTCAATCCGGCCCTGGTTTTATATGCTGGTTTCCCCTTTCAGCAGGAGCCCCTTGTATCTCCTGGGATGCTGCTCTTCTGAGTCTCTTAGTACAAGGAGCCCCCTGTAGATGTGATCTCTGGACTCCCCTTTTGCTGTGCAGCTTACCTTCAATCTCCTCAATGGTCTTTCTGCTTCCCTTATACTTTTCCTCATGAACATCTCTCTGTGGATGGCTGTTCCCCGCTGTTTGACAGTCGCTTGTTCTCTCGAACTCTTTGCCCTTCTTCCTCACTGCTCCGTGGGCTTGGAAGTGCCTGCTAGGAGGCCTGCCCTCTCTCTCACGCCCTTCCAGTCCTTCTCCAAACCCCACCCTTTCCCTGAAATCTTGGACTCGGCCCCCTTTGTGCCCATGCTCTGATTCTGGAAGCAGCCAGTGTTCTGCGTTACAGATGTTGCTGCCCTCTGCCTACCGTCATCCCTGACCATTGGGCTTCCCAGCAGAGGCTGGGAGGTGTGGGGGACTCCCTAGTCCTGAATGGGGCAACTGTGTTCCTGAAGGACCAGGTGTGCAGCCTGGGAGTCATTCTGGACTCACAGCTGTCCATGGAGGCCCAGGTTAATTCTGTGTCCAGGGCAGCTGTCTCCCAGCTCCATCTGGGATGAGACCCTCCTGGCCGCAGGCTGTCTGGCCAGAGTGGTGCATGCTCTACTGCTTAGACTACTGCAATGCGCTCTAAGTGGGGCTACCTTGGAAGGTGACCCGGAAACTACAACTAATCCAGAATGCGGCAGCTAGACTGGTGACTGGGTGCGGCTGCTGAGACCACATAACACCGGTCTCGAAAGACCTACATTGGCTCCCAGTACGCTTCCGGGCACAATTCAAAGTGTTGGTGCTGACTTTTAAAGCCCTAAACGGCCTCGGTCCTGTATACCTGAAAGAGCATCTCCACCCCCATCATTCAGCCCGGACACTGAGGTCCAGCTCTGAGGACCTTCTGACGGTTCCCTCCCTGCAAGAAGTGAGGTTACAAGGAACCAGGCAGAGGGCCTTCTTGGTGGTGGCGCCCACCCTGTGGAATGCCCTCCCATCAGACGTCAAGGAAATAAACAACTATCTGACTTTTAGAAGACATCTGAAGGCAGCCCTGTTTAGAGAAGTTTTTAATGTTTGATCTTTTATCGTGTTTTTAATATTCTGTTGGGAGCCTCCCAGAGTGGCTGGGGAAACCCAGCCAGATGGGTGGAGTATAAATATTATATTATTATTATTATTATTATTATTATTATTATTATTATTATTACCACCACCACCATCATTGGAGCTAGAGTCCAGCACCACCTTGAGGACACCAACTGGGCACCCAGGCTCTGCTTCTGTGACTCAGCCTAAGGATGCCAGAAGGAAAGAAGCACAAGGTTCCCCTCTGCCTCTGTCCCTTCTGCTGTTTCCCCCGTGTCAAATTTTAGAGTTGATGGCTGCACACAGAACAATGACAAGCCGCAAGTGGGACAGAGACCACAGCTCTGCTTGGCCTCTTTTGCATTTCGCACCATCAGCCTCCCCCTGGTGGTAGGAAAAAGAGAGCAAAGCTGTATTTTCTAGAGTACTGCTTGGACAACGATTGCAGAAACAAGAAAGTCTCTCGGTGCACACCCTTAGATTAAATGGAGTCATTCTTCCTCCCACACAAATGCACATTTTTGGAGCCAAGTGTGAGGAACCTTTGGCCCTCCAAATGTTGCTGAGCTTCAGCTATTCTCAACCCCAGGAAGTCCGGCCAAAGGGCAGGGATTAGGGAACTCGAGGCAGGAGACCTGGTGCCTCCTGATTCTATCCTCAAAACAACCGTGCAAGGTAGGTCAGGCTGAGGGAGGATTTAAATCTTGGTCTCCCCCAAACTTTGGCCAGCACCCAGATCACTACCCCACAGGGTCCCTTGGAACGACAGTGCTATGTTGC